AAAATAATCCGTATAAACTACGTTATAAACAAAAAATTGTAGGATTACTTACCGAGTGTGTACCCTTTGACTACGCTCGTTGCTAAAGCTTGGTTTCGTCGCGGAACAGCGCATCAAATTGCGGCCGCGATTTCTGATATTATTTTTCTGCGAAAACTTCGTTGACCTTTGGAGACATCATTAATATAAATAATTTTTATGGCCGTTAAATAAGAAATGTTTCTTTCACAAGAAATGTATAAAATTACAGTACTAAACAGACGATAGGTCGCCTAACTCGCCGTAGCGTGACGCTAGACGGCGAAAAATATATATTTAATTATAATAAAGTTACAATAAATTAAGTTAATATATAATTATATATACAGTACCTAATTTATATATAATTAATATATAATTATATGTACAGTACCTAATTTATATATAATTTATATAATACTGTCCAGACGATAGAAATCTCTCCGTAGCGTGGCGCTACGGACGGCGGGTAAGTAGTTCGGCTGCCCGATGACGTTTTACGTATTATAGGAGTTATTTTTAGCGTTGTTTACGGATAATGCCACAATTTTTATAGGAATCATAACTATAGGAAACGCTTTTATAGGGGGATCTACTGTATTTTAATTTTGAAGGACACTAGGGAGGACCATAAATGTTTCAGTAACTTATATTTTTGCCTCTTCCTAATGTTTTTCTTACACGTTAAAGATAAATATTGGAGAAATATTTAACCATTATATATTTATATTGAACGGAATTTACCTTACAGTAAAATATCTTCCAACGGAGCCATTTGGTCTAGGCCACACACTTATAGGAGTATCAGAACATTTATTACAAATTATTCGTTCAATTGTATTTCTTGTGTATTGAAAGATTTCTATTTTTGTTAAATTTTAATATTTACAAAATACAGGATTTTTCAAATCCTGTATTTTGTAAATACAAAAGACTTCTAAATCATCAAGAACTCATTTGTTTCAGTACAAATGCAAACATAAATGACGCTATTGGGACCTTATCAGAGCTGTAAAGTATGTCCATAAGAGAAAAAAAGTCAAAGGAACGATGCCTTCTAATGTGACTTTTCGCTAGATATAGCTTTTCCCGAAATCAGCCGTACGCGATCGCGAGTCGCGCCGCACGCTCCGCTAAGACTATCGCATTTATGTGTTTAATCCACGTGATTATGCCTGATTCGAGTAGCCCACTTGACTCGTGAAGTACTCGTGTTATATAGTTCGTGAAGTACTTGATGTTATATAGTTTTAGGGGGTGTGGATGCTCGCTCCTATTCGGGCGCTGAGGTGCGAGCGATAGCGAGCACCGAAGCGCACTGCATGCGAGGCGTCGGTTAAGTCGATCGATCGCTCGCCTTGAAGATGCGGAGCATGGAGAATATGCATTAGTACTAGTTTAACGTAAAAACTGTAACGGAGAAACTTTTACAGCCAACACTAAGACAGGACGGAATTCCTTCTATTTTTTCCAGGAGCAGAAGGAACCAAGAGAGAAAATTGCAGGTCTGACAGCAACCAAAAGCGTTGAAGACTCCTGCATCCTTCCAAACAGGTGTTGCAATTACTACTGTTGTGTGAAAAACACATTTTTCAGTACGTGGAAGATAAAAAATTTGTTTTTGTTAGAATATTTAATGATATTTTAACAGAGAGCAACTTGGCCTTAATCACTTTAGGATGTAAAGACCATTAAGTACAATTAGTTTCGCACATAATTCAGTTTTATGCAACCACAAGAATTCATTTTTCACCAGAGAAGTTAAGTCTATAAGTAACACAGTGGTGAATAAAAATGCTAGAAAACTGTCTAATTGTAAGTAACTAATAGAATAAAATTTTATTTACTGAGAAACTTAATTTTTATTAATTTTCATAACATCATTATCAGATGAATCAACATTGGAATATTAATTTAAAGAAAATTAAAAATATGAAGGTTTCCAATATAGAATAATATGCAGCATAATTATGTTACCATACAAATAAAATTAAAAAAATAATAATAAAACCAAAAATAAACATTGAGAGTGATTAAATAAAAAATAAGAAATAATGTGATATTTTGTGTTAACAAGAAGTAATATCGTATTTAATTTTAAACTTGTTATTTTAACTTAAAATGTATGTAAATCACAGTTTTATTATACGACGAAAATACATTTAATTCTTATACATCGGTATAAACTATATACTGTGTACTGTTTAATGCTGTATTGTGCGTTGTGTCACATAAAAGTAATGCCGAAAACACAAAATAACGAAGAGACAGAGTATTATAAACAATCACAGTAGGTATTTACTACGTCGTGTTATAACACGACACGCTCTGAAGTCGCCGTAAATACTGTGGAAGAATCCGGGTTCGATTTCCTTTTGTAGTCTTTCCAACGGAGTATTATCTATATATATATATAGGGACATACACGTCCATTTATATATATATATATATATATAAATGGACGTGTATGTCCCTATATATATATATAGATAATACTCCGTTGGAAAGACTACAAAAGGAAATCGAACCCGGATTCTTCCACAGTATTTACGGCGACTTCAGAGCGTGTCGTGTTATAACACGACGTAGTAAATACCTACTGTGATTGTTTATAATACTCTGTCTCTTCGTTATTTTGTGTTTTCGGCATTACTTTTATGTGACACAACGCACAATACAGCATTAAACAGTACACAGTATATAGTTTATACCGATGTATAAGAATTAAATGTATTTTCGTCGTATAATAAAACTGTGATTTACATACATTTTAAGTTAAAATAACAAGTTTAAAATTAAATACGATATTACTTCTTGTTAACACAAAATATCACATTATTTCTTATTTTTTATTTAANTAAAAATTCTCTAATTAGTCTGGAAACGGGGGACCTAATTCTTGCATTCTGTGAAAACGGGTAAGATTAGCTATAATGTAATTATCTTAATCTTCACTATCGTTACTTTTTGCCCAGCGAAGCGGGCCCTTGCAGCTAGTTATTTGATAAAAGAAGATTAAGAAAAAGGAAATTTCGAATTAAATTCGCCATGAAAATTTTAAGTAAAAAATTTCAATTCTATTAGTCACGTGATCGAAATTATCCAATAAGATCTTTGAAGTGCCGTTGTTGCCCGTAGGACGAATTAAATATTCTTAAATTATAAATAGACATTTTTTAAAACAATATAATAAATAAGCATTTATAATTTATTCCAAACGAAAAATAATAGCCTAAACTCAAAGAGATTCGACGCAGAAATAAAATAATTATTTTAAATTTAAATAATCTTTAATTATTTTTGTGCTTAATACGAACCACCGCCAGGTGTCTTTACGTCGTCCGTTTTAAGCGGTTAGCGGAGTGTTTTGTATCAGAGAAGGAAAGAAGAAGAGGAAGAACGATATTTTTTTAAAATCGTAAAACATCCGTTTACAAAATGGGCAACGACCAGGTGAGAATATTATAAAAATATGTCGGATACGATAAATTCGTTAATTATTTAATTAGTATTGTCTTAGATATAAAAACAATCGGCGACAAGGCCGAAATAATTGCAAATTAGGCTTAAGTTTGAATGACGATCGACGATTACGTTAATTACACTATTTATATTATTTTATATAATTATCTTAAGTAAATTACGTATTTTAATTAAGTATACGAAGTTTAAGGGCACTTTTTAACGTTTGGCGCCTTTGTATATATAAGAATCAATGGGCACATGACTCCTTTGTAATAAAGGAAGTGGAAATGTTTACTTTCACAGAAAATTTTCCATGTTGGAATCTTTGTATTTCATGATGGATTTCCATGTTGGAATCTTTGAATTCCATGTAAACTTAAATATTATTTTAAGAAATCCAGGTAAAAATGTATAATAGAAATTGTAACCGTGTTGGGTCCTTAACAGACAATACCCATAGGAACAAAAAAGTCAAAGGAACTGTACCTGTATTTACAACCCTTTGTGAAATATGAGCCCCCAGAAATTGCCCTTTGTGCTCGCATAGTAGTAATATACACATTATACAGGGTGTCCCATAAGTTTCCATACATATGATTGGCATGGACTTATGGAGTGGTATCCCATATCCCAAGACCTTACCTCACTTGACTTTTTACTTTTGGAGGCTTGGTGTATCAGGAAAAGATACAAAAGATAAATCATCTCAAGTAATGAAAATATTTGAAATCTCGGCGTGCAGCCAGCAACTCTGTTCAGAATCTCGGATGACTTCCAGTTGTATCCGGCGGGCTTCCGGCAAACTACAGGCGTCTTTTTCGGTGCTCGATACACCAGCAAATGAGATGGCAGCTACTGTGACACTCGTAAAAGCTCTATTTTGCATTGACAATTTTGAATTTAATTTATTTGTTGATGAATAAACCATGAATTCGGTTAGTACATTAATAGAATAGTATATTTACATAAGATGCCATGTAATTTTTTTTGTTAAAAGTGTAATCTTAGGATTGATTTAATTATTTAGCCTATAACTCTTACAGAAGTTTAAAAAATTTTCATTTGTATTTCTTTTTTTGAAATAATTTTTTTTTCATTAAGCTGTTCTCATTAAATAAGTTCAAAAGTAAATTTCAACATAACGTGGAAGTCCACATTGTTTGCCATTTTTATTGTTTTTCTCTCCTGAAATTTCCAGCAGTCGGTGTTTATGTTCTCTAGAAAACCGGCAGTTTTGTCACTTCTGGCAGCATCTACTGGATTGATGCTGAGATTTTGAATACGCTCAATGTATCACCAATGCCGTTACAAGCATAACTCCAGGGGCCATATTCTGGTCAATGTCTCTGGTCTCTTGTCTCTCACAAGCCGGTTGCTGATTGGCTAATCATTTGGATTAACTAATCAGCAACCGGCTTGTGAGAGATGAGAGACCAGAGACAGTGACCAGAATATGGCTCCAGCTGTACTTGAATGTGTTCTTCAGCAGTGGAGGACAAGCATTGAAATGTTTTCAACACAATGGCAGTCATGTAGAGCATATTATATATATATAACCCTCTGCATATTTTTAGGCAGAATTACAATCAGTCTACCACTATATATCAAGACAAACTAGCTGCAATCCATCAGGTAGTTCAATGGAGTTTGACACTTCCTGACCAATTCAAAGTTATTTCAATTTTTAGTGACTAAAGCTGCTTTTGACCTCTCTTATGAATATTGACTTTTGAAGTGGTCGGATCAGAAATATTCAAGAAACTGTAAGCTTAAGTTTGAAATGCTTTAAATTCTTCTATGTCCCGGGACATGTAGATCTGATGGGTAATGAGATAGAAGATGCTTCTAAACACAAAAACTTACCTCTGACTTTACAGCCTTATTCTAGAAACATCCCTATGAGGATAATTTATGACCATCTTATCTCCACATGGAACCAGTCACGGACTTCTTCGACTAAAGGAAATGTCACCAAGATGTTCTACCCATCAGTTTATGATTTTCTTAAGAATCCAGTTAAGAATTTTCCTATTCCTTTTTTCAGATACTGGACGTGGTAATTTTAATTGCTATCTAGCAGCACATAATTTAGCCAGCAGTACCTTCTGCCCATGCATAATGGGTAAAGCTGAAACTGTAAAACTTAATTTACAAATGCCATATCTATAAAGTTGAATGCTTTAGGATCATGCTGGAAGTTCTGTCCTTGGGATATGGTTAGGCCCTGTCTAGCTCATATTCTTGTGTCCAAGGAACTGTGTGCTTATTTTGCTATTTTTATTAAGGATATTTTAAGAAAAAACGATTAACTGCTTCTTTGAATTCCAGTGTTAGTTAACCATGTTTGATATTGTATGCGCATTGTTCATTTTCTTACCTACCTCTTGTCATTTTATGTATTATTGATTTAGTGTAATACTCACTTCAGAGTGGTGCACTCAAATAAAAAATATATATATGGATAAATGGGTTTTCATTTAAAAATGTTTATTTTTCCTATGTACAGAAACTTATGGGACACCCTGTACTATATTACTTGTACTACAGTAATAAGTACAATATACTGTTAAAAAAAATTCTTATAATTTCATCAAACAAAAGTTATGTAAAGATGGTACTGTGAGTTCTAAGTGTTTGTTATGGTCATTTTGGTGCTATAATCGAGGTAGGAAATTTGGGTTCGGAATGTGCAGACGGACATTTTTGTGCATAAAATTTAGGCGTGGTTCTACACAGCTGGTATTTATTATGTGGAAGTTGGAGGATCTGGCCAATTCTTGTGTTTTGTTAGGATAAACAAGAAACTGGATTCTGTACCAAGTTTTGTGGCATTGTCAGATTTGTGCCAAGCTACTTCAATGCAGATTATGATGATGCGGACGATGGTTTTTGGTTTTCAGTGCATTTTTCTTTGTGGAGAAGTGTTTGCTCTCATTTTGAACTTTTGGTAAAAGTCAAAGTCAAATGGTACCAGCTTTATAAAAGGACCATGCATTATTTGTCTCTTCGAAGGGATTTTCAATTTTGAACGATGTACCTTTCCATTCAGCACAAAAAATATGCACTTGTATATTCTGGCTCTTGGAGTCTGTTCGGAAATGCTTATCGGTTTAACCGCCGAGAGTCTGCACCATTCAAAAGTGTTGTCTATAAATTTTCTAGTGATTTACCAGTTTCTCGCTGATCTTTGAGAATGAAGTCAGCTATATACCGACAACTTCGTTTATCGTTATCGCCCACCTAATCAGTAAGCATTTCCAAACCATCCATTAATTTCTTGCAAGGTATATATAGATCTTTTAATACATCTAATAAGTATAGTAACAGGTGAAAATGTGGTCGTTTTTACAGTTAAAACAAATGGTTTTCTTTTTATTATATAACATAATTATACACAAGTAATTATGTTAAACCTTGATGCACTACTCTTAACTTCACCATTGAAATCATAAAATTGTTAGTGAAGAAATCCTCTCCATTACATATTGGTTACATTACTGCGCGAGTTGTAAATATTGTAATTCTGTCATGTATTGTTATAAAATCCCACTTTTAGAATTAAATTTAATTATTAATTTGTAGATTGGAGGCTAGCAACTTCATCTACAGATAATAAGAAATTTATGCAAATTACTTTTTCAACTACAAATAATAAATGGCATTAAAACTTAATGAAAATGCTTGTGAACTGTGGTTAATTTGTTGTTGCCGTGATTGTAAAGAACATCCTTGAATATAGTTAAAAACTTACATATGCGAATGCAGAAACTTATTTCGAAAGAATTGTTCGAGAGTAGAGTCAAAAATTGACCATAGGAAAAAGTAATCGCTAAATTTAGTAAAACTATATAACCAGGGTGGCCAATCTCCTTGATAGTCCGAGCCATTTTTCAAAATTGAAATTTTTCGCGAGCTGCAATTAAATACATATTAAAAAGGTATGCAAAAATTCCAGATTACAAATTATATCTGTAGCAAGAGTGATACAAATTGTTTCCTCCAGAGCACAATGTCAACTGTCCGTTGCAATGACAGTTTACAAATTCAAAGTCGGTCGATAACGGATGATTACGCCACTGTTTATGTTCGTTCGCATAGTTTTCGATGAGTCATATCATTCTTAACTTGGATGGAAATGAAATTTGTTACAATGTTGCACTTAGCCTTTCATATTTGTTGTTAGTAATTTAAAAGACATTTTGAAACACATACGGAACGATAATAATTTTTAAAAATATAATAACACAAAAATGAAAAGGGAACTCGGGTACATTTATTGAGAGCCACAAATAATCCTTCAAAGAGCCGCATGTGGCTCGCGAGCCGCAGGTTGGCCACCCCTGCTATATAACATCATTACAAAAACAGTGCAACTTGTTCAGTTTAAAACATGTTTCTTTTTTTATCAAGAATGTATTCATCTTAGAATTGATTATTTTGCACCTGCCACATTAGAGGTCAGAAAAATTCCAGTTGTGATTACCATTTCTAGAACATACTGTTAATATTACAATCGAATTGCATAATGACGTATCAACTTGTAGATAGACTGTCTCCAATATATTTGTCATATTTCCCCCTCATAAGATATGCATGTAATTTAGGAGAGGGAAATTTCTGAAGAGAACTTTAGGATTTTGCAGGTATAACTAAGGGTTTGTTATTTAACCTTACAAAATCATTTTATTTTATATTGTCTTGGAGCAAACCACATTCACAAATAGAGTCTGTGATGTACTGTAAACATGTACATTTACAAGTATTTACGTACAGTACATGTAGTTATGTATTTGTAAATTTAGATTGCTTTTTTTTCTGTACTATATTAAAAATTAAAATTTGTTTGTAAGCTTAAAATAGTTTCTTATTAACCATATATTATTAAAAATGCATTTATAAATAAAATACAGAACTGGAAATGGTTATTTGTGGTTTAGCCTAGTGACGAGTAATGTTGACATAAGTCGCCTCTCCTGGGACCAACTACCAACGTAAGGTGAGGTAAACCTGTATTATTTATAAGTGCATATAAAAGCAACAAAGAACCGAAACATTTGCTAACTTTGCAAACATAAAATACTGTATTTTGCTCAGTTTTGAAAAATAGTTTGAGGTAATTCTGGATGTGGACGTGTAATTGCATTTTATTTGCCACTCATGTGAACAGTTGTATCTTTCACCGATGTTGTCGTCTACACGGTTGCCATTAAATTAATATTTAATCTGAAAATAGTAAGAGGTTATCCTTTTCTTTATTTTAAAATCTTAAATGTGCTACAGCAACAAATAATAATACCTTTTGCGTGTTGCAATGTACATGGTAATGCAAGACAGTTGCATATAATTTCACGTAAATGCTAATGTGAACAAACAGAAAATAAATGTAACTGGCATTTGTTACGGACTTGATCTGTCGTTGCCATTGATTGTCAAGATCAAAATAGTGGAGCCAGTTCAGTTACAGACATGTGCTGTCTGTGGGACGATAAACAGACTTATTTGTATGTTCCATAAAGCATTCATTCTCTGATCAAATTATGTGGACATTAAATAATTACCTAACAGTATATACAAAATCAGAATTTATATACAGATTAATTAATTTTTTTCTTTAGGAAGAGGTTCCGGAGAGTCCTGATGTGCATTTCGAACCAGTTATGAAATTGCCACTGGTAGAAACTAAGACTATGGAAGAAGACGAGGAGGAATTAGTGAAATTGTAAGATTCTATTACCAAAATTTTTATGTAAGAAATTATATGTCTGCAAATTTTGCATATATGCAGTTTGTAAATTTCAATGATGATATCGAACGGGCGGTCTGATTATGTTACGGATGAGCGTTCCTTTCTGAGTCTTTCGAAACTAAGATTGAATCGTAGTTAGACAAATGTCTGTTGCTAAATAATTTTTATTCCTTGACAGGCGGGCGAAGTTGTTCAGATACGATACCAAAGACACTCCTGCGGAGTGGAAAGAGCGAGGAACCGGCGAGGTTAAAATCCTCCGGCACAAGAAAAATAATAGCGTCAGGATAGTTATGAGAAGAGACAAAACTTTAAAAATATGTGCGAATCATTACAGTAAGTGCTTCTTTATATGTCGATAAAGTCGGGACTATTCTCGTGATTTTTTAACTGTTAATGTTTTTAGTACAGCCACTCATGGAAATGAATCCGAAGTCCGGAAGCGACAAGGCTCTGGTGTGGAGCACACCGGCTGACTATGCCGACGAGGAACCCAAGTCTGAACTCTTAGCCATCAAATTTGCAAGTGCCGAGAGTAAGTGCATGCTTCCTGCAAATTCCGGGATTTTGCCTTTTTGAGTGATGACTTCAGAACGGGCGGTCTGATAAATTTTAGATGAACGTTCTTCTCTGATTGATTTCTTTAAATTATTTTGATTTCTTTTTCTTTTTTTAATATTTAATCAGTAACAGGAATGTTTATTTAATTTAATATAGATTGTTTAAAGTTCAAGGAATCATTTGAGAAAGCAAAGTTAATAGTTAGTGAAAAATTCAACAGTAGTATACAATCAGATAAGTCTGAACAAGATGAGGAGGATGACGATGAAGGTGAGTTCATAATTGTTTTGTTGAAAAATATGAACTTTGAAATGTATAAAGGTAATTCCCAAGTTAAAGATGGCATGTGGTAGCAACGATTTTCTGCCCGTTAAATTTTAAGTGCTCCAGGTTGCCGTGACTTAGGCCAATTTAAATTTTTTGCAGCTTTATTTTGTGTCTAGAAAAATACAGAAAAATCATTAGCGAGGTTGTGGCCGAAGTTTTCTATGCGAAAACATGAATGTCAGATGTTCAGCACTGGCTTCCTGTAAGCCTAGAAGTTTCACAATGGCATTTGAAATGCCAGTGGAATCATGCTTGATGTTCCAAATGCCATTGTGAAACTTCTAGGCTTACAGGAAGCCAGTGCTGAACATCTGACTTTCAAATTGGAAACTTTGGCCACAACCTTGCTATTTTCTGATCCCAAGAAATGCCTTTGCCCTCTCATCATTTGTTTCCAGCTAAACTCATTTCAGATAGTGTGGACTAATATGAAAGCTGGGAGAAGGGTTAAGGTCGTAGTTGCATAAATCTCATAAACTAAACATTGAAATTTAGCAGATGCAGAGAATAGTCAAATTTGAGGGATGTCAATGATGATTTTCCCACACAATTGCATGTAATTTTCATTTAGCATGGATGTATGGGTGCCATTGTAGGTTTTGAGTTATCCAAGATTTACATATTTCTGCCCAGTATGCTTAATAAATTACATGGCATTTGGCAAACTGAATACAGCTAGGCATACAGAAAGCTATTTTCGTTATTTATAATAATACTTTAATAATAATAAACTGCAGTTAAACAGCGTGTGTCTGGTGAGAATCTCACAGATTGTTTTATAAAACATATCTGGCAATGTAAACAAATTAACATAGTATTCATATGACAGTTTGGACAGAAGTTTCACTTTGAATTTCGAAGTAGCCATATTTTGAATTAACCAAATTCCTTAACATGTAAATCTCTGTATTACTGGATGGGACAAATAGTTTGACATCTTATATTTGTTACTATACTGTCATACTGTCTGAGTTTGAATTAACAAGCATTTCCTGTATATACAGTTTTGTAGCTATACAATATATACAGGGAATTTGCAGAGTTTGATGATGTCTGGGATATGTACTGTACAATTGAAGAATTGTATGAAGACAGTCTGCAGGCTGGTACAATCGAGGAGGAACCATCTGGTCCTAGTATAGCACCAAAATTTGGAAAGACTTTGAAAGGTCTTTAAGACTTAAACCTGGACTCCACATTACTGGAATCCGCAACGTAATCATAAAACTGAAAGCTAAACTGACGAAATTTTTAGTTTTGTAATGTTCAGTTGGACAAAAGCAAGACTGAAAGCAGAGTTAAAAAATTATTTAACTTTTCCATTTTCGTTCCGGGCTTCTGTCGTACTGCAAACAAAAAAAAAAGTAATGATTTGTGATGCGTAATCACGTGTAGTTTGATTGTCGTAATGGTGGAAAGTGTAGTGAAAACAATAAGGGAACAAATAGATTTGGAATTCTTCACCGACAGTACAGATATCTGTATGACAAAAAGTAAATAATTCAAAGATTATTAACAATGAAATTGTTAATAAATGCAGAGAAAGCATGGCAAAATCTGTAGCGTCATCCATGTTTGACTCTACGACAATTACAGAACTGATCAACAGATGGCGCAGTTCTAGTGGAATCAAGTTAAAATGAAAACAACTGAAACGAAAACTCTATATGTTTCAGTTCTGTTTCTGAGTTTGTTTTCAGGTAATGTGGATTCCAGGCTTTAGTGTGACCATCATCATGAATAGGCTGTTCATGACATTGCATGTAGGTATTTCTTCTATGTGGGGGTTAAAAATTGGAGTTTTTTGAATAACGAATATCTACATGGGGGTGTGGGTAATCCATTGTTTGTGATATAACCGATTCTTGGAACAATGGATGATTTTCAGTGGCTATTTTCATTAAAATAAGATTCTACTCTTCTAAGACAAACATATACACTTCTGAAACAATTTTTATTCTTTAATTGAAATAATCATGCTTGATATGTTTCCTGTAGTATTTGACAAGAATTTCTAAGTCGAGTCATGGTCAATGTAGTGTTTAGTGCTTTGAGTGGTCACAGAATTAATTTTTTTTCTGATACTGAGGCAAATTAATAGCTAAACTTTAACTAAATATGGGAAATACAACCTACCATAATTTTGTCCTTTATAGCTGGAATTGATCAGCAGAAGAATAACATGCCGACTTGTATAAAAATTATAAATTTGGTAGCGGTCTATCAACTCTGTATCTTGCTGCGGTGGGTCAACTTGAAGACACAATAGTTATTATACAAAGCAAAGCAACATTCTGAACAGTTATGATTTTGTTCCATCCTAGTCATTATGCAAAATCTTTGAAAGTTTTTTTTTTTTTGGCATAGTGTTTTGTTTACCAAATCATGTTTTAATCACTGCTCTGTAATAAGGACAATATTAATATTGATTGTCTTTTTTCAAGGAGACGAAAGCAATGTGAAAGAAGAAAAGTTAGCGTCGAAAATTGAAGCACTCTCTTTGAACCAAAATGATCAAGATGCCAAAGAAAACACTACAGGTGAGCTTTTGAGTATTTGTTGGTTTGCATAATCGAGTGATGATTTTCAACGGCGGACTGACGTGTGCTGAATGAGTTTCTTGTTCTGATAATTACGCTAATTTTTATACAAAATTTTAATGATTTTATTATAAATCAAGTGACTTTAGAACATTGCTTTATAGAAAAAGAAGAGGAGGAGAGTGGGGAGCAAAAGAGCTCTGAAGGGAGCAAGTGAAGATTGCCTTTTTTGTGTGAAGTGTCCTTAGCACGGTAATTAAAAACACGTTTCGGGACCATTGAAACATCGCCGTTCCAGTGTCGTAACTGTCCTCTGTTCGTCGAATTACTCGGAGTACCGATTGCACATCTCGTTCCTTGCTTTAATTTTATATATATATATATTAGAATGTTTTATGTATATAATTATCCAAGTATGTAATTTCACGTTTCGTTTACATTTCCCCCGAGAAACTAATTTAATTTGACATATCACATTCCCAGTATTAGAATTCCCAAATTGTCACATTACGCGGGTTGGCGACGAACACCGTCCCAATTAGAGATCGGATCCGAAGTCTGCAATTTTTAGTCTATGCGATATAAGCTGCGAATGTTTTATAATACCACTTAAAATGAGATCGGACGAGATATTTTGTTATTAAAAGTCGAAAGTTGTACAACTCTCAAAAGAATAAAGATCAATCTGTTTCTATTGTATATTGTAATGATGGACTCTACCACTGGTACAAATTTATAAAGTGTATACTTTTCTACCATAAAAAAAGAAGCTTCATAGTTTTTAGCTGTATACATTTGTCATCCTGAAAAACAGCTTTAAGCTAATTTAAATATGCCAGCGAATGAAACTTGATTATAGAAATCATCAATAAAAAGGCATAAATTTCCATGAAAGTATTGAGCTATAGGCCTAAACTACTAAAATAGATTTTCATCTTGATTTGTGTTTTTAAGGCTGTAATTTTGATGAATTTAAGCCTTAAATATGCCAGTAAATGATATTCAGAGATGAAAATGCCCAGTTACAAACTATTGGAGCAGAAAATTAGCCATTAAAATTGAATCCACGTTCGGATGGGACGAAAGTAACCGCCATCGTGTTCTTTCGTTCCGTGTTTTCCGAAAACATTAAAAGTAAAGTTAATTATCTAATCGTCTTGGTTTATGTAATTAGGTAATCGGAAATTGCTTTCTTACCGAAGCGTGTAATCATTTAATACTAATTATCTCAGTTATTCGTCTCGATATATCCCTGAATCACATCAATCAAACCACAAAATCGATCACCCCCGTCCCGGATTAACCGAATTATGAAACTGCAGCGTTTAAAACTTCGAATCAAGGTCGGAAGAGTCCGGGTTCGATTCTCTTGCCGAAAAAGGCCTAACGCTTCTTTTTGTAATTCGAATTTGGAGTGCTGTCGACAATCCAACTAAAAAGTCTCTTTGTAATCAGTTTCGCGATTGTATTTTTGGAATTTTGCCATGACCTATAATTGATACATCTGATAATTTCTGTAATTATTACTGACCGAAATTCGTGCGCCTTAATAATAAATGAATACGAGACGTGCTGCTGTTGGTGCTATAGTTTCAATTTGGATGCGCAGTTTTTTATTTTTCTAGAGAGCAGTAAAGCACTTACTTCTAGAGGTGAGTGAGTGTTGGATTGAAAGTTGAGAAATTTTATCACTAAATTAGCTACAAGATAAATATTTAAGTAATGGGTATCATTACTAAGACTAAATTATAATTGTATAGTTACGCACGTCTAATTTGTACAGCCGTGCAGTTTGCGTAGTTATCGTCCCGTCAAGGCCTATAACAACTGCCGAAATCTATGCAAATTATAGTAACGAGCGTTAAATCATCATAAAGATAAAGGAGAATTTGCATAAACCTATACAATTTCATCAGCATAATTGTTTCATTGGGTTTTCGTTTGAACCCGGCAACGTATTTTAACGTAATTATAGCATCCAAAACTTTATCTTCCTTAAATAGTTGAAAGAATATAAATCATCGTCTCATAAATTTAAACTAGGAGATGAATTCTTACAACAAGAAAATGTTAGAAAATATAAATTTCCATATATATAAACGCTTAGAACGGTTTGCCCAAGAGGACAAGGCCCTAAACTTGATGGATCCGGGTTAGTCCTGAAGAATTTTCATCTGGTTGTCGCTTGGCTTAATGCAAACGCATGGATCTATTTATAAGGATCGTTTTAGTGATCAAAAGGTGGAGTGTTAGCAGGAAAACTGCTTATATCAGCAATAAAATAATTAATAAATGAAGTAGACATCATAATTTATTAAAGTCTGGAAATATAAATCTGGATATGGAGCACACGTAAACACGCATTAATAAAATTATCCTTTGTTAATGTTTGATATAGAAAACGATACGTACCATTCCACACGTAAACTTTTATTTATTTTAGTAAATCGCAATTATCACGAGATAAACAAACTCATAAAAATTTAACTAAATTTAGCATTGCATTTATAACGAGGAATTAGCGTGCGGGTGATTAAGTATAATCGATTTGTCTAATTTTCTGTAATTAAATTAACACTAAACGGAAGCTATCTCGGATAAATATCAAGCCTTTTCTAAACGTTAATTAGTAATTAAAAATAGTTAATTTTAATATTCAATGAAACTAAACGAGCAAAATCTATATTTTTGGGAGCTTTATACAAGTATGGCCTTATATAAGGCCTATTTATATAATAAAGCCGGTAAAGTATAGGATCTTGTTCATATTACTAGCCAAGACAAAAGTATCTGATGTTAATAAAAAATAAGGCCTAATTAGTATATTTTAATAAAATAATTGAATAAAGTAAATGATTTGATTATTTAATTCAATGGTTAATGCTAATAACATGGTAATATTAGCCTTTATAGAAGTTAACTTGTATTATAACTTATATTGCAGAAACTTTTAATGAAAGTGTAAAATGCATCTAGTTTTACATGTGAGCAATTGTAATGATTTGTAAATCTTTGAAACCAAAATTTTTTTTAAATTGAAAATATCTTGGTTCATATTTTTCTCCATTGTATAAAATTCTCTTGCAAGAAGAGAATGTTTGCTTCTTTGTACAGTTTTGGACCAAATATTTGGCTTTCACAAATCCAGAATTACCAGAAAATTGGCTAGTTTTGAATTTGTAGGCTGTAGTATAGCTGTAGTTTACCACACAGTCACTTTGTTTTGTTTTCTGTGGCAAACACATATCATGATTCCTGTTCCAGTGTAACTGCTGGCATGTATGGTGTGTTGAAAAGAGTTTGTTGTGTACTTTCCATTGTTTATTTTATATTTTAAGTATATATTTAGCTTGTGTCCAGAAAACTAGAAAATCCAGAAATCTGAGTCTTTTCCAGTCCCAAGCTTGAAGATATTTTGTCTGGTGCTGTCTGTACCTTTATGTATGTACACATTTGAATTTTGGGTTTATAAGAATTCCCGTACATCTGGCAATACTGGGCTAGATTTTAAATAAAGAAACAAAATTATTTGTTCTAAAGATTGGTGATTAGGCTGCCATTTTGTAGTAATATNATAATTGAATAAAATCTTATTTACTAGCTATATAATTTGTTTAATATATTTAAAATGTTCATTAGAACTTCATTTTTTTCGATTTAAAATCGTATGACTCGAGGAGATCGATTCTGTAAGCCAATTAAGTTAACATTCGGAACTAATGAGTAATTAAGTCTAAATGATTTTCTTGCAATTTAACATTAATTGGATGTTATATAAAAAATCAATTTGTGAATGTGTTTTAATGTTTAAAAAATTACTTTTAGATGTTTTTTTTTATTCTAAAATGATTTTCAATCCAAAAGAGTAAATTAGATACTAATTAGCCTGGTGGAAATGTTTTAGATAAGCTAAATACACGATACCTGTTAATTTTAAGTGTACAGGATTAGGCCCTTTTTTATCTGTTGTACCATACTTATACACAAAATTCTCCATCGTGAAATATATAAAACAGGGTAAGCAGTATAGTTTTTAAGTTATACGAGGCCCTGGTAAAACGTAGACTTGCGAGGGCCCTCTGATAAGTTTATAAAATGAGGGATGTGTATTATATAGACCTATTTTGAGCGTATCTGAGCAGTGGCATAACTAATTTTGAGAAATTCCTGAAAAATCTGGACCCTATCAATATAACGAAAATGGAAATTACGATTACCTAAACCTTCGGGCCCCCGACATTGTGGAGATCTGTAGAGCTTAGTAACGCGTATCAGAGGCCCTAATTACCCCAGAAAAAGAAACTAAATACGAATCACTTCTATACAACTGCAAATTTTTTAAATAAAAAAAAATATAATTTATTTAAATAATGGCAAAGAGTGACAAATCGTTAAGTGCGAATTTACATAAATTAGAATATCGTTACCATAAATAAGACGTGTGTATGTAATAAATAAACATTCGAACATAAAAACCCACTTAAAACTATATCTACTGTACACGTATACTTTGTTTTCGATGTATATTTACAACGCGAATATTTAAAAAATAATTTACTGTAAGCACTTAGCGATTTACGTATGGTTTCTTTTAGTATATTACAACAATGTACAGTACACGGTTAGTTTAATATTTGTTATTTTGAATAAATACCCACGTTTTTATTAATGAGGCCTGGCAAAACGAGCGGTATCATCCATAGGATTAATTCCAATTTGGCCTAAGTGATAGGAATCGTATTCACCGCCATCGTCTTTAAAATTTGGATGGATTTTCTCGAAGTTATCGGAACCAGGCAATCCCCGAAGAGGATCATTCAAAGATTCACACCTGAAATTGAAGAAAACATTAATTTATAACATTTAATTAATTAACTCGCATGTTCTACAGAAGTGATTTTAGGTAGCGACCCGTATACATCATAACTTTTTGATTGATAGCCATTTTGAATGCGGATGTTTCCTATCTTGGACAAGATTAATTTTGTTTTTACGCCAGTTCTTTTGTAGTGTGATGAGTAATATCTTTTATTATAAAGTTATAATTAGAAAAGAGTAACAATTATTCAAAAGGTTGGACCAAAATTCAGTTAACAGATATATAATTTAACCTGGGTAATGTGTATTATGTATCTGAATTTATTCAGTGCGCTGTGTAATATTGATAAAGAATTCATCATAAGATGATACTTGTAACATAAATATTAAAATTTCTAATTTGTATAAATTGTATTTGACGTTTTATCGGTTGCCCATAAAATTCAATTACTCATTTCGAAATTGTAAGAGTGGATTGATGGTTTAAGGTAACAACACTTGGGCGATCTGCCAAAGGAAAGTATTCCAGGGAGACTTTCTATTGGTTCCTATTTAGCTGTTAAGACACACGAAAAAAACCCGCAACCAGTATTCAGAGGTGTTATCCATTCGGCCAATGGTGTGCAGATTATGGAAGGAAGAAATGTTTTGATATTATTTATGATTATTACCAGACGTAACTACGTTAGGATCAATCAAAGTAAATAGAAGAGATTTTTCTTTATACAATAAAACCAGGACTTGTATTAAAAATTAAAATTTATTTTTACAATTTAAATGCTCCGTGTAGGAAATTATTTCAATTACTTTCCATTCACCAAATTTTAATTCGTTTTAAAGAATAAACAAACACGTACAGTACTTGAAAATAATATCTATTTTATGCTTAATGTATTCAAAACAACAACTTGAAATCAGAATGTCAACGTTTGATATAAAAATAATAGACGTGATGTGATAAAAAATAATTATATTAGTTTTATTAAAATATATAGAAATCGATTGTGAAAGTATATATTAGCATCACCATATATTTTATGTAACTAAATTGTAATTTGCTTTTACTTCCCGGCTGTTATAGGCCTATATAACAGAGGGAAAGTATGGCAATCAAAACTGACCCCCAATATTTTTACATACTGTATTTGAACTCTAAGGACAATAAATGCAAAAAAGTGGGAGTTTTTTTCTTTGTGTGTTTGGGAGGGCACATTTTTTCCATTTAATTTGAAGATTAACTCCCGTCTCTTTCGTCCAAAATTTCTGAAATTTGGCAAGAGGTTGAAGTATTGTGGCATTAAAACTATTAAATTTTGATGGTTAAAGGTCGAGAGGGTCACCTGTCATGTATGGAAACTGATCACTTTCATGGCCATTAATTACATTTACATTTTTTTTTTTACTCCCTCCCTCCTTGTTGTATACAACGATGTATTTTTCGCGACTCACGTCCCCTGTTAAACTACACGTAAGTAATGATTACTGGGCCGTCCACTAATACACACACTTTCAAATAAACGATTTCTACTTACGAAATGATGAAATATATCGAGTTTTAAGGAAATAATTTTGCAATGATACGTATTATTTTATTTTTAAACACTAGATAAAGAAGTTATTTCGAAATTTCACTATGAAGAATTAAAATTAATTAATAAAACTACAAAGAGCGTTCATGACTTTGATGATAGGACTAAAATAATGAAGTATATATTCAGTTAATCTATAAGAATAATAAAGAGCTTCTGATGTGATAATGTAATGATGACACGTAATAATTCATTAGTTCTGTATATTTTAATAACAAAATAAATTTCTTTTTCAAAAATTCTTGTAAAAATATATAGTAGTTGTAATTCTGAATGCTAAAACAATATATATATGGTAGGATCTTGTTTTATGCAGGATTAATATACGAGGATTCGTGTTTTCACGGATGGCAAATGGTTCGGTTAAATCATTGGATACACAGGAATAATTCTGACTATTAATGCTCTAATCTAATGCCATTAATGGCTAAAAAAATATTACAAATTGAAGACTAATTACTAATAATATTTGATGATGTCTGCACCCTTCACAACAACAAGAATAGAGGAATTTTTAATCAATTTAACATATTCGGAAGCGGAGGGGAGTACAAAGAAAATGCCGACCCTGTTAACGTTAATTGTGTACCCGTAGTGGTGAAGGTTATAAAAAAGGCTTCGATTTGTAAAATTTTAAAACGTATTTCATCCTGGATTTTTTACTATTAATGACTATTAAATGAATCTGATTCTTACGTCAGCAAACCGTGCTCATCCAGCTTATGTCATTCCGAACACAGTTACTGAATGCTACTCACTGTGGTGACTATTGGGTGAATTGCTACCCTAGTTTGGTCCCCCTGGGAATACTCGGGTGCAGGTGATACGCAAGTCGGGTTAGCTTCATACATTCAGAAACGTTGGACTAAACTATTGTTCATCATAATGGCTTCATAAGTGTCTAGGCAATTATCTGAGACTATTTGGGATGGAGTATAGATATGCAGCTCCATAAAAAACCGTAAAACAAGACGATACTGTAGTATATTGATGATTTGTGTACCGAGAAAACGACAAAAACACTTCAAAGATTGAAACACATCGATCCAGATAATTTTAACGTCAGACATAATCTATGTTTACTTAATCATAATTTAAGGTAATTTTCATAAATTTCACATAAGCGACGGTACACAAAACTAAAATATTTAACGAGTAAGCATATTTTTATTTGTTTTCATTCAAGCCCAGTCATCAAGGATTTTTCTTGACAAAGCTTGAGTGAAAACAAACAAAAAGTACTCATTAAATATTTTAATTTCGTGTACCGTCGCTTATGTGAAATTAACGAAAATTACAATAATAGACATGTATTAGAACACTGACTTTCGGGCCACACTGAATTCATTTTTGCTCTTTCATATGTCATATGGATGAAGTTTGAAAAAATATTTAAATTTTTATATGAATTCTTATTTATTTATTCTCTACTTCGCATGTCAATTTGATATTCTGGAATATCTGACGTCAACAATTGTTCAAATATTAAATATAAATGGAAAAAAGTCGTCTAAATTTTTTTTAAATGGAAAAACAAAACAGAGATCAATTTGTTAACGATTTCTCGGAAAGAAACAAAGTTAAAATAATTCAAGATGTTTTAGAAATGTTTTCTTGAAATATATATTGGCATAACTGGGCCTATAAATTGATCATTTGTGTTCACGTATGTGAGCCTATATATGTTTGGCATGTCACTGCCCTGTTGACTAGCACGGTATCGATTTTTAAATTTATATATTTCGTGTGTTAAAAATGATATTTATAACAAATAATATCTTACTTGCAACTTTGTGGATTAAAAAAGAAACCCGTAGAACAATCTTCGTACACATTGCACTTGCAGCTGCAGTCTCTTCTATCCCAGTGACGATCTGAACCAGTGCAAGAGGACATCAGTGCATTATTTTTACATTCACACTTGCATTTATCAGCCGAATACACTTGTAAACTAGTACAGTCTTCTGCCTTTTCTCGACACACGCAACGACATTTATCATGCTGTTCGAGGTGTACTATTTCATAACCCAAATGATCGAATCTATTCGAAGCTGGTACACTATACCGAGCTTTAATAAGCTGTCACAAAGAAGAAATCATCATAAGAAACACGTTTAATAAGCTCAATTTAAGATACTTTACTATAGATTTACCTTAACACTAATCGTGGATGTGGCCACGGGAGCACATTTGAGTAACCTACTGGTGCAGCAACCACCACAGCGTCGAACTCGAGTACACGGGGGCCAGAAAATCTCCGTGGGATCCGTAGGACGTGGTAATTCTACTATTTTCAATTCTGGTATACAAGATGCTTGATCTGCTACTGGCACTGTCGAATCTAGTAAAAGCATCGTACTTAAATAACTTTTAGGACATTTAAAAGTATACAGATTTAACTTCGAAATTTATAAAAAATCAATCAATCCTCACCATTACTCGTCGATACACTATCAGTCTTTATATGAACCGATTTATCCTCATCTGTAAATATATTGAAATAAAAATATTTTAGTCATTCGAGCGTAATTATTCTCATGTAATACAATTTGTCACGCTTTGACTTGAAGCGAAGTGAGAAATAATGATGATAATAACATAAGAATTTCGACATATAATACGTGATTCGTTAAGAAACGTGTGCAGGTTTTGCAAGCTTAGATTTACTAAATATTTTATGCTTGTACTACGCTTCTAGAATTAGTATTGAAAGAGAAAACTTTGCCAAAAAGATAATTTGTTGGTTAATTACCAATCTTGTTTGTTCGATTTCATAAATAATTCACTCACGTAAATTACCCACATTGTGAATTAAGGTAGTACTACGAATTAAACTACAATTCTGGTTAACTATTTCTTTATTTCCAATACTGTTCGAATAATCTACATTATCAAATCGATGAATGTCATTTGTCAGTCTATTGTTTGGTTATTTTTACATGTGTCATTTATAATCATATTGAACATTTTGTATCGATTCTTGTGAATAATATATTACTATAGTTCTTCATCTACAATGGCGTCAGATCTATCACTGAATAAGAATATTTTGATATACCGTTTATAATTATTTGTAATTTACTTTGCATAAACGTAAAAGTGTGGAGTAAGTTTGATATTCCTAGAACTATTATAATCAAAATCATTCTGTAAAGTTTGCTGTGATAATAAAGTTAAAGTTACAGTGTTTGCCTGTCTTAAAAAGCAATTAGATCATTGTTAAAGTTAAATGAATAAGTTAAATATTAGCAAACCTTTCTCTAAATAGGCAAGAAAAACACCAAGTGCAGGCTTTCTCGTAACTTGAGTAGACGAAATAAAATGAGACATAAAGTAACTGACATTTTGAACATCACTCAGCTTCATCAGTAACGATTCAGGAATCTATAAAAGAAACCATTCAAATTATATTAATCTTGCATTCATTAGATTCATCCAACTCGAACTTCGATCATTCTAAGATAATAAAAAGGAATGCCATGTAATAATTTATTTATGTTCTACTATAATACCAGTTTGGTGGACCGATGACAATCTTTGTATACTCGATTAATTATGTTTCGAAATTCTAAATTAAGTTAGAAACCATCATTAACCTGCCATTTGCTATAGGCCACAGAAAAGTGACACAATTACAGACTAATTTTGTCCAATTACACGATTAATTATTTAGATAAAAAGGAAACTTTTTATCAAAGTAGATGATATCGAGTGAGAATAATAATATATTTATGCATTGTATGAATTTTTCTATATCGATTTTATCCTGTAATCTGAAGAATTAATTTCGTTATGGAGCATAAGCATCATGCTGGAATGTTTCGTGCGGGTTCAGAATAAATATATTTACACATAACGGTCCTATTAGGTGTATTAGCGTGATATAAAAAAAACAACAGATGTCACAAAAAAGCATTGTTCTAAATACAAATAAACAGAACCTACACGAAATCGATAGTGAAAGATCAAACTAAGGTCTACTGGTTTATATTATTTAGAACAGGCTGATTGACACAAACTGTTCGAAACTTCTACATTTGAAAATCAATTATTATGATTTAATATGAACAAAAATCAATCATTTATTATAGTAACGATGTCAATATTTACATGGCAACAGCGTGAACATAGAAATAATTTACTAAAAATATTCCAATCCCCATTATAAACATTACTCACCGATAAAGAGTAGATTAGAACGTTCATACAATTAATTAAATCTCAATATAACGTTGTAGATCATTCCAATAATTAAGATTGTATCGTGTACAACGTCTTAAATTATATATAATTAGCCAATTAAATTTGAAATAAGTTTGTTTTATTCTCACATAAAGGTCAAATTTGATGTATTTCAAGGCTTGAATGTACTGTACAAGTGTAAGTCTGATTCAAAATTTGTCTCCAATTAGAAATATTAATACAAATCAATATTTATGAGAAAATTGATAAGAACGACTACCCTACTAATGTTTGTTATATTTCTTTGTTACTATGACAACAGCAAATATTTTCTGGCTCCAATCGCCCAACGATCAATGAGATGAAAATAATAATAATNGAATATGGATGCATACCTTAAAATTCAATGTGGCATCATCCACCAACGACACGTTTTCCTCAGATCGTATGTGAACGGATAAGCACTTTTCTGCGTCTACAACGGAACCTAGGGTCATTTTAACTTCAGATGCCATTTCTTGATTGTTTCGGGACTGATTATGGCACGACTTCCCTTCATCGTACGCTACCATCTCTGCACGACAATTACTGATTTCCACACCTCATAGCATGAAAAATCTCCGAACAACGTTAATTAAAAATATTAGTGCATTAGAGATTATTTCAAAATATACCGCTTAGAATTTCGTAATGCTGTGGATTTTTCATTGGCACAGTTTAGAAAAATAGTCTTGTGCCCGGGAGCCGGCCTTAATCTTAATTATCTGGCGTGGGACACAGAGACAAATCCAAGATTGATGGTACAATTACGTGATTGACGGTACAGGATTGGTAGATAAATGATACATCAAGTGTTAAATAACTCATCAATCATCATGAATTTCATCACCAGTAGAAAATTCTACGGTTTCTACTGTCTCAATAAAACATTAGAATCGTAATTAAACATTTGTGCTTTGAAATTACAGACTAAATAATTTATAAAACAACAAATATAAATTATTTGTTCGTGTTAATTAGAAAAATATTTATTTCTAATATACACTTGAGATGTTTTGCAATTTATAATAATATAAGTGAAAATACATTTAAAAACTGTGTATCGTGACTTTAAATTTTAGAGACTGAAGCAGAATTTATTTAAAATAGTAAGGAATGTTGCAGCTTGGCTCCACAAATTAGGAGATAAATTAAAGAAAATAATAGGAAAGGATACGAAATCTGTAAAAGTAATATAAGATGCCTTTCAGTTCAATATATTATTCCTGGTTATGAAAGCTGTTTTCATTACTGTTATTTGAATAATTAATTAATTACTTTAATACATTTTGTAGAATTTATAATACTAACTTGTTTTTAAATTCGTAAGTATAAAAACCAGTTATTTTATTAACGAATTTAACCGATTTTCTTTTATATAAATTTTTAAAAAGTTACGTGAAAGGAATAATTTATGTATATTTGAATTGACAGAAAGTTCTGTATTTAGTAAGTATAGTTCTGTTTATTATACACAAAGTGTGTGTCTTGGTTTAGATAAAAAGAAACGTTATTTAACTATCCTTTATTTGAAACATTATATACACAATCCATATTTGTGTGTGTTGTATTCATTACTTCTATACATATATCTGTACAAGCAAATCATATGAACAAATACAGTATATATATATATTTTTTTAACATAACCTACAACCATTAAGTTTTACCAGATTTTCGCTTTTGATAAGTTTGAAATAAGCTAAACTTGATTTTATATTATCTATACGTCAAAACATCATATCTACAGGGAAAAAGGACTTGACAGAATGCCGAACAGGACCATATTGTATCGACTAACTTGGTTTATACATAATATACAATACATACATTTTATACGTGTATAAATATGTTATAACTATAAGTGTATAGTAGTGCATTGTGTAAATAGTGTGTGTATATATATATATATACACACAGACTATGTAAGATGTATGTATTGTACTGTATATTAGGTTATTTTCTTGTGTGTATATATGTGTGTGTGGTGTCCACATACAAGAAAATAGCCTAAATAGCATCATTCCATTTTAATTATTTATCATTATAAATACTTAAAAAGGAACTTTGTTGACTTTTATTAGTGTTTGAAGTGATTATTATTAAATAATTTAATAAAAATAAGCATTGTTTGTTAGAACTTACCTGAATTTTCTTATATTTATCAGGATCAAGGGTTGGCTTGGAGTAGCCAAAAGTTGTCATTGTAAATAAAACTAACAAAACCGAATACATTTCCTTAAAAAGTTAAAATTATTATATATATTCTATATTAACGTTCATTATGGATCATATATATCACTCCATTATAAAAAAATTCATATATATAAAAAAAAGTCTTAACTTTTCAAAGGCAGACGACAAAACTCCGATCTCACCAAAAGATCGGCTGCTTTTCAACTGACGTCACCGTAGCCATGGTTTCGACGAATGCTTGTCGTTATATAAATTTTTTTTTTTCCTGTTGTGTGGCGCTTTGATCGTCGTAGCTCGTTAATTCTTGAATATGGTAATAAATAATTTCTTTTAATTGCGTTGATAAAGACGACTTACAACTAATAAAAATTATAAAACTATAAAAATAATTTATTACAAGTTAATTATATTATTTTTTTTGTAAACGATAATGCGTTTAAATATCAATTTAATTAATACAGTATTTTATTTTTTAATTTTTATATAATACACTACTTTAAAGATTTTCGAATCGGTATGTAAAAATTTAAATTAAAAAAAAAATACATAAATATATTCCTTTTATTTACGTTTGTAAACTTTATAAAACGTATAAAAGCGTACCGATATTAAAAATTGAAATAATTTAATTTAGAAAAAATAAAAAATAAATAAATTATATTCTTAAAGATACTAACATGAGTACAGCGACATTGGCAAATCGATATTTAATTAATTAAATTTCAATTTATTTTTAAGTACCGTTTAAAATAAAAAAAATAAAACAAACAAAATAAGCGCTTAAAAATTTAAATTTTGTATTTGATTAATAAAATAAATTCATCTTAACGCGAATTCTTTCTTTTCGAGAAAATTGCTAATTTTTCGAAGAAAAACGCAGTTTGGTACATTAAAAAATTAATTCTCTCATAAAAAAATTTAAATTATAATTACAGTCGAAACTCAGAACAACGGCCGCTGTTTAGAGATTATTTTTTTATGCATTTTTGTTCAGGAAAAAATAATAAAAAAATCACAAAATGGCCGCCGTTGGGAGGTGTCCCTTATTGCAGGTTCGACAGTATTTGTCTTTATTAAATATTGAATGAATCAGAATATTTTATATTTAATAATGAATGGATTATTATATATTATATTATATTTTATGAAAACAAATTTAACAAATTTTTTTATATTAAAAGTTTATATTTATTTTAAAAAAATCTACAAATTATTATTAGAATTTTTTATATCTTTTAAAAATGTTTGATTTTTATTTAAAATAAAACATTTTATGTATTAGCTTATTAGCGATACAGACAGATACCAAAGAAGATTCAGCAGGGCCATTTAACTAAAAGGCCCCAGACACAGAAGAACCCAGAAATTTAATATTTTATCAATAGAAACTAATTTTTTGCATAAAAATCATAAATTTTATCTATTTTTACTCGGTTTATTGATTTTATTTATGTATTTTTATGGTTTATAAAAAAGAATGAGGCCCTGCTCTTGTAACTGGTGCGGGCCCCACTGTCAGATTAAAATTAAAAAACTTTTTTTTTTATAAAAGAAATAAAGATAAACTTTCGCATTGCGTTTTATTTAAGTTTTGCTTTCGTTTTAAGATTATTTTTAGTGTTGTTCCCGGTATCGTTCACTTCTACTGTTGTATTTGTCATTGAAAACTAAATTTTTTAGTTTTAAAATGGGACAAATATGCTTTACGTTGATATTAATAAACAAATATAATAATAGTAGAGAACGATACCGGGAACAACACTAAAAATAGTCTTAAAGCGAAAGCAAAATTTGAAAAGTAAATATCTTTTGTACAGAATTTAAAAATTTCTTTTATAAAGTCAATATATAAAGAGCCGAATTTGAACATAAGTTAAAACAAGAAGCAATTAGGGCCTCGCGCTATGAGTTTATAGCTTTAGGCCCTGACGTTTTTCCATGCATCATTATTTGTTGGAGAAGTGCCTCTTATACCTGAGCTGTAAGTCTTGCCCTGAGTACACACAAACACACGCATCTGTATAAGTATATATTATATCTATATAAATATATAGGGTCGATGAGCACCCATCTTGTATAGTTTATAATAAAAATGCATAGCGGCTTTTTAATCACCCGGTAAACTACAGATATAGGAAAAAATCGAATTATTGTGACATTGTCAGGCTGCAATTTTCAGTCATATTTTAATTTAAAAATCACGTGACTTCCGGTTCAGGACATAGTTCGTATATAGTCAGTCTTAGGTTCCGGAGGCCCCCTATTATCATATATCTGTTTGTTTATTTGTTAAGTTATGGCAACGCAACACTTGGGCGATCTGCCTAGAGGGGATGCCTTCCGGGAGGCTTTTATAAGAGAAACTGGCCCCTATTTAGACGTTACAGACGGAAAAAACCCGGAAAACTCCACGTGGCCAGCCCGTCCCAGCGAGGCGCGAACCCACGACCGAACTCCCAGTGTTTAGGGTACGAAGACCGCTTGGCCACTGGTGGGCCTTTCATATATCTTAACTCCGTTCTCGAGATTAAATAAGGCTTGAGAGGACACGGTAAGATCCTCAAAGAGGAATGGGGCCCTATTCCTCATCCTAAGCCATAAAAATATACGAATAAAAATCAATAGAACAGGTTTTTTTTAACACGTGGTATCACATTTCTTACATAAAATACGAAATTTTGGGTGCCCTCTCAATTTCCTATTGGTCCACTATATCTGGGATTAGGCTATATTTAAAGTATGGTAAAGAAAAATTTATATTTAAATTACTTATATGAACGTTTTATTTATTTAATTTTTCCTTCCAAAATAACTAAATATAATTTATTAGAATATTATATATTTATATTTTTGACGATGTTACCATGCAATCTGGTAATCATTTGATGTTTATGTTTTCGTCTTTTAATATTTTATACTGGTTATATTTAGCCATTTGTTTTTTTATTTTATGGCCTGAATATAAATACGCAGAGAGAAACAACAGAAAATTAAAAAAGAAAAAAAAATCGATGTCAAAAGTTTGATTGATGCCCCCATTTTGAGATGATGTCTATGTTTCCGCATGAATAACTGTTGTAGCAACGCACGAATTATGGGTCCCTTGATCAATTTTAACCCCTCAATGGAGACCCTACTATCCCACGAGGCCTCACCAAGATCGGAGATTACGAGTTCCGACACGTGCTTTTTAAAAATTTATAACGGAAGGCATCGAATTCTATTCATCCTCCATGTCGCGATGCATTTAACGTGTCGCGCGTCGCGACGCGTCCGACTTAAATATGGCTGCTCGTTGTTGGTATAGACATTTCTTGTACTTTTCAAATTAAAAATATTTCTCAGCCTCCGGAGCTGAAATTAAAATCAATAATTTTACTTTAAATCAATTAATTTATCTATCATTATATTTAATATTAATCCTTCGTGAAAAAATAAATATTATAAACAATCGTCGTTACGACATTGACCAATCAGCAGCTCGTGATAATATCAATTAGCCAATAACGGAGCTAAATTCGAGCGCGCGAAATTTAAAAAGATTTAAATTGTGAAACGTTAAAATTTGAAGATGTTTTGAACCGAATTTTAAGCGTAAAAATGCAATTTATAAAATTAATTATATAAAATATTGAAAAAAGTAAATTACATCGAAATTTACTCTAAAATACAACGTTTTTATAACGCTGTTTACAATGATGCAACGTAGTTTTATAGGAGTAAACATTCTTCGCACCTTATTTTCTGGCGTAGGTTGCCTTATTTATGTATGGATTTGCTAAAAATAAATTAGCATGGGATCTTTTATCTTTACACAATAATGCTTATCTTATTACTATCGTGATCTTTTCAGCATCATAATCACTTTTAAACTCTTGATTTCTGAATATCTAAATATGAAAATGATGACAAGTAATGTATTTATTCTTTTTTTTTTCAGTTCTTGTATGAGAGTGATAAAAGGGCAGGCAGTTATTGAAGCTGGTTTCTTGATGTGAATTTAATGTTCTCGTAACTTTTTTTCATTACCAAATTATAAAGCAAACTTATAAATCAACATAAATTACAATTTATTTGTGTGCACCGTAGGCCTTCTCTTAATATTTTCATATTTATAAATAAAGTTACAGGGAGAAAAAGATATAAAAACATTTTACTCTTTCTTAATTAAGATTAATTTATATATAAAATGGGAAATAACACGTTTGTGGTATTGATCTTTTGAACTACTCAGTAAACTTTCTAAAAAAAAACCTGGTTTAAATCCCATATAAAATTAAATTTTTCCTTTTAAAAAGGAACTTCCTACGGACTTTTTCACTGTTTATATGGAATTTATGGCCCACTTCTTCTGAAGATCAAAAAGTGATACAGGGAGTGTTTTTGGAAAATTTCAAAGCAGACCACAGAACGAGCACGGAAACACTTGAACGACACATCAACTGGATAATAAATAATAAAAATCAACCTCAACTATCGCGGCCTATTTATTCTAACTGTTATTCTGGGTTTATGGCTAGTGTTACCATAGGATATCAAAAGGAAGATAGGCTATGCCCTCTAAAATGAGAACATACCGAACCATACGAAAGTCACGTCCTCTAATCGTAATTTTTTATCTGGTAAGTGTAGTTACCAGATTCAATCCTTATCATTCGACTAAAACAATGAAGAAACTGTTTCCATATACTGAGCTGTAGCTCAAAGAGGAGCCTGGAACAGAAGCTACCATAAGGGGGATTTGGGGCTTAACTCCAAATCCCTCTTATGGTAGCTTCTGTTTCTGTACTTCTTCCTTTATTAGGGCTTTTTCTGTGGTTCTGTGTCGTTCAAATATCTTCTTCTTCGTTTTGCATGCATGTCTGTGTTTTACTGCGTTATTCCATAAACCTGTATTGTAAAAATTAATGAATTATGTTATGAAATATATATAGTGTAGAATATAAATCCTACCCTTTTAAAAATCCTGCATATGGGCTGGTCACCAATATTCATCTTTCCATTCAATATAATTATGGATAAACAATGAGGAAAGCTTGATTCTCTGTCCTCCTCGATATGCAAATAAGTGTAGAACGTCCCCAGTGAGTGGAATCATCATGAAGTCCGTATTCACTGTAACTAGAGTGTGCTTAGACTTATTTACTGAAAGCTTTTCTACGACTTGGCAACATTGTAGATAATACCAGAGTGTCGACATGTCGAACTAGCGAAAGGTTGGATTACCGAGATTAAAATTTCTTATTTAGCGATTACAGTTCAATTTTTATCTCAGACGAGTTTAATAAATTTTTCTTCTTAAATCAATAAAGAACGGTTATAAAAATAACAATTTAATTTTAAATTGTTTATTTTTTAACTCATTATTTTAATTGCTTACTTAAGATGAATTCATTATATATTTTTTTTAAATTAATTAAATAAAAAGGTCATATATATTTACAATTAAGTTTTCGAAGAAAAAGTTTGTGTATAATATAAAAATTCAAATTATTTGGTTAATAAAAGTTAAAAACAAATGTTACTTTTTTTATAACAAAAATTAAATTCCTAATCCCCGGTTTATCTTAATTAAACAATAGATGTAGGCTAATTAACTATAATAAATCAATATTTTTTATTATTAATGTTAAATCAGCATAATTAAAAATCCAGCAACGAGTTGCGTAATTTTCCTGACTGATATTTTTTAAAACAAAAAAAAAACCTCGTAACCTTTTATATTATTAAGCAAAATAAATAAAATTGGGTGTGGCGCCATCTGTTATGAATTTTGTTATAAAAAAACTTTTTATATTTTTAATTACTATAGAATTACAAATAGCTTAATTTTGAGGGTAGGAATGAGTTTAAAAAAAGTGTAAATGTTAATAATGCATATCATCTTCATTAAGGCTATCCTTCTAGAGATAGGAGGTATCATGAGGTGTCATCCTTTATCTCCTAACCTTATCCACTTTTAACCACTAATTTTTCTACGATTTAGTTGAGAAATTCTCCGCTCCTCAAAGCGTCAAAGCAAATTATCATATGTTTAAGTCCGAACTTCAACAAGCCCTAGATGTATTAGGGCCTCTTCAAAGTCCATAATAGCGGGTGGAAAGTAAGTAGGCATTAAAAAATCACAGTAATTTCTATATTACTGAAGAAAATATGATGAAAATTATTTTACTTGTACATTGTTAAATGGAATATGGATGCATACCTTAAAATTCAATGTGGCATCATCCACCAACGACACGTTTTCCTCAGATCGTATGTGAACGGATAAGCACTTTTCTGCGTCTACAACGGAACCTAGGGTCATTTTAACTTCAGATGCCATTTCTTGATTGTTTCGGGACTGATTATGGCACGACTTCCCTTCATCGTACGCTACCATCTCTGCACGACAATTACTGATTTCCACACCTCATAGCATGAAAAATCTCCGAACAACGTTAATTAAAAATATTAGTGCATTAGAGATTATTTCAAAATATACCGCTTAGAATTTCGTAATGCTGTGGATTTTTCATTGGCACAGTTTAGAAAAATAGTCTTGTGCCCGGGAGCCGGCCTTAATCTTAATTATCTGGCGTGGGACACAGAGACAAATCCAAGATTGATGGTACAATTACGTGATTGACGGTACAGGATTGGTAGATAAATGATACATCAAGTGTTAAATAACTCATCAATCATCATGAATTTCATCACCAGTAGAAAATTCTACGGTTTCTACTGTCTCAATAAAACACTTTCTTACAAACACCCCTCACGATAACGTTTGCTATTTAATTTATTTGTCTCATCCATTCATTTACGTATCATGCGTCATCGCAGCAAACAACACAAACAACACCCTTACACATGGGCAGCCACAGAAATTTTTTAGGATTCGGAAAAGCTTGAAGGCAAATAATTACATCAATAAATTTTTTATTTAATTTTTGGGTTTCACAAGTAGATTATAAAATACAGTATTATATCAAAGCATTCCATGATCGAGGGTGTAAGGTTACATATCTCAATCACTTTTACGATTACAATTTATGGATTTTTTTTATTCAATCCCAGAGGAGGGGGCAAGTGCTCCGTATGGCCCCTCTGCTAACGCTCATGCCGCTAGCAGAGGGGCCATAGATTAGCTTATATATTACTTTCTCTTAAGCATAAATATACACAAAAATTCTATAACGATGTCTCTCGCCACCCGATGCCCCATTGTGGGCCTGATTGAACTCATAATAGTCTTGCTAAAAAGGCTCTCTTAGTGCTTGTAGAACAAAGAATTAATAAGTAAATAAACAACCTCAAAAAGTAAAATTGAATGAGTGCTTTTAGTTATTAACTAAACACATTAATTTTTAATAAAGAAAATCTAAAAAAAATATATAAACAGAGTTTTCATATTGATTACAAAATTTCACTTTAATTTCGAATTTAAAACATTTAACGGTAAACCATAGCTTTCATGGGAATGGATATGGATTGTTATATCGATAGACATAAAGTTGCGTAAAGATCCACCATTGCCATTACGAAACACGGGCATTAATAATGAAAATAAAGGACAAATTGAGTCCTCTCTCGTTTCAATACAGGAAAAGGACAGTCTAGCTAAAATAAAGAAGTATCTTTTAAAGTAAAGGAGGTATGACAGGCTGTCATCCTTTACTTTAATGTGTATCCTGTAGTGTGTTTTTTAGTATATCCTGTATTATTTAGTGTGTATAAAGTGTGTTTAGTGTACGATAATAATAAACTTAAAAAGGTATTAACAAATTTAGAGCATTAAATTATTGCTTCTGCTGATAATATACAATAATACAGGTAGCTGAAAAGTTAGTTAACCCAACTAACCGGATTGCCTACATTTAGGTTAACTGACTTTTGGGTCGTCCCACTTTTACAGCATTAATAATATCTACAGTTCAACTATTAATTACTGTTTTGTATATAAGATAAAAAAAACTTTTAATACTATTTCGGATATAAATTATATTATTATTTTAAGGATTACTTTAAAAAAATTCATTAAGTTTGTAAATAAGATAATATTTCAAGTACTTCTTTAACAAAATGGAACACATATACCTGCAAATGGAAAATTTTCAATTATGTCAGTCATTTGTGGCCATTTTAAGTTAGTGGAAGCGCAGATGTTGCCGTTAATACTTTGATAAAATAAATCAAAATGTAATGAAAGTGTTTACACAAGAAGCAATACAAACATAAAAGTTTTAATGGCTTCGTCTGATTTGTGTATTTAATAAAAAAGGTTTTATTTGTATTATCTGTGTACTCGACTGCATCTTAGCAACAATCGTTTGTCTACAAGATACATGCATTTGTTCTGTGTACTCATTTTAAAATCATTTTTGTTTTAATTTCTAAACTTTAACTTGAATACCGACAAAGAATTCTCTTGAAATGTAAAATAATTGCCAAAATTAGAGTCATAGACAGTAGCGAACAGTTTCCCATTTGGCCCACTAGGACCTGGCCTAGGGCGCAAAAGTTTGGGGGCGCCCTTGAGCTACAAAAGGCCTTTCCTTCACCAAACAACATAACGAAGAGTCTCGTAACGTGTAGGCTGTTTAGCTAGTAAGTAAATTCGACTCTGAGCTTAGGGTTGTTATGGGGCCTCACACAGAGTTCAACTTAGGTAAATCCAGTCTTGGCTTAGGATTTTACACTATAAACTTAAAGTAGTGTGTGTCCTTGTTGACCTAGAATAAACGTTTTAAACCAACTTTAACTAATTTTAATGCATATTAAATTGAATGAAATCTAATATCTAAAAATGCCAAATTTGAACCTATTATTTAAAGCATGCAGGACCTGTGTAAGGTAAAATATAACAGATGCCGTTCACAAATACTGTATCCGAGACGGTTAAGCATCAACCTATTACTCTGGGGACCTGCAATCATCCTGTCTTACATCATCCAGCTTCCATCATTGTGGGCCTGCTGAACCTATAATGGGAATGGTTAAAAAAGACCGTCTTAGTGTCTAGAAAGCAAAGAGTAAAATAAAACTATTTCTGTAAGAAAATTCAAGTTATAGTCTTGTTGGTAACCCATCTATCTAGATTTCCCCCTTATTTTTAACTCTTTCCGCCCTGTAAGCATTTGGAGGTTCTTTTATCCGTATCCATCGTGGATTCGGCCAGGTTCACAATGAAAATGGCTGGACGGCGAGGGACGGAACTCGACATACCCGAAAAATATCTGCGGTTTTCGACCGGCCGGATTCGATCCCGGATCCATCAGAGCAGTATATATGTAAATTCCTTGATATTAATAAATACAGGTTAATTATAGGAAATTCAGCGGCTCGGGAATCCGGGATCCTCCGCTTATCAGAACGATTATTTTAGCTTATATAAAAATAATTTATGCAATAATCTTATTTATACTTTAAATTTTATTAATTTACACGCTATTTAAAAAAACAAATCAATTTTTTACGTATAATTTCATTTAAGAGCAATAAATGCTGTTGAAAATTAGCTGTTGCCAGTTAGAAAAAAAAATTATTATTATTATTATTACTCTAAAATTTATTAAAATCGGAGTTAAATAATAAAAATAAAACAACATAAAAATTAAATATAATAAGTTATTTATTACGCGAATAAAAAATGATATTTATGAAAATTTTACTTTTTTTTTTGTTACGCCATTTTCTGTTGCCAGAGTGCGCTGATGGCGGAAAGATTCGGCTTTTAATGATCTTAGAAAGGGCGGATACGGAAGAGACGAACAGCAGTCGGGTGCTTTGTGATGCTGAAGATCAGTAGATGCCGATGGATCGATAGATATTAGGTAAGGTAAATATACAAATAACTTAAAAACACGATATTTATCTTAAACTCTTCTTAGAAGTGTAAAACGATAAAATTCGTAAAAGTGGCGCAAAATTTAAAAATAACTCAACATTGTTTATTTTAAATCGATACTTAACGTAAAGCTATCTGTTGTCAAATTTTTAACTTAAATTACATTTTTAAAAACAATTTTCTCGACATTTCTTGGTTTAAAAAAAAAAAAAAAACGCGAAACGATCGTATTCCGAAAAATTCAAATTTGTATATATATTTTCAACGATTTAAATTTGAAAATATTCAAATATTTAAAATAATAAATATCATTTGATGATTGGTCAGTTTAAAATTTAAATTAATCACGTGACTTCCCGCTCGGTTATTTTAATAATTATTTTTTTTTTTTTTAAAGAAGGAAGTGAAATTTATTTTTATTTTTTTCGCGGTTAAATGCTACGAAATATTATTTGTAAATTCCTAAATTCGATGCATATTAATAGTTTATATTTTTACCTGTTTTAAGATAAACTTATCGTTCGATCTAAATCGGATAATTTGCCAGTCGTTGTCATAGCAACCAGTACGAACAAAAAGGTTTTTCATTCAATAGAATTGTTTCGTATTCACGAATAAAAAATAATAAAATATAAGTTTTTTTAAAGAAACTTAGAGTTTTTTTTACGTTTCTATTTATTTATTATTTATTTTTTAATTCTTCATTCTACTTAAAATTTGAATTTATCGATTCATTCTTTAAAGTAATTCCGGTGAAAATGTCGAATAATTTACCGTAATTTCGATTGATTTTTTTATTATTATTATTTTTTTTTTGTGTTAAATTAATTCAAAAAAGTACTTTTATAATCGACATTTTTTATTATTATTATTTCTTTCCTATTAATATTTTAATTCCACTTCGAGTTATTAATAAATTATTAAAATTAGTTTAGATGGCAACACTATAAAATTACCTGGTGACAATCGTAGCAGACGACGTTTCGGCAGCCATTTTCAGTTTGATCGTTTGGATTGCAAATTGGAATTCGGTAAATTTATAGTCTTTTCTTTTTTTTAAATAATAAATTATCGATTAAGTTATTTATTTAATTAAATCTTAGTTTATTTTAAACGTTCAATTAATTTATAAAGCTTTTTTTTTTTAAATTAAAAAGTTGTATACGCGAACCCTAATTTAAGCCTAATTACACGCAGACCGGGTTATAATTAGGCTTAAATTAGGCCTAAATTAATTAATTACGAAATTACCGATTATACGGATGAATTTTTCGTTATTTTTTTTTTTAATAATGTGAAATAGAACAACATTTAAAATTCAATTTTTATCGATGTATTTGATGGAACGTTGTCTATATTTAGAAAAGAAGAGGCGTTAGGAAATACGAATCACATGATCGACTGTGCTTGAGAGATTATCTGCATGCGATCGATTAAGATTTCCAGTTAAAAATTCACATAAAAATCATTATAAATTTCCTAAAAATTTTGAAATTTTAGCTAAACATATTGAGATCGTTCGTATCTATCTCGATATCTTTTCATGTATTTAAGACAGGGATGGCAAACTGTCGGCCCGGGGGCCTGTAAGGCTTCGTATCCGGCCCGCGCCTTGATGATTTCTTTTCTAAAAAATCAAATGAAACAGAAAAAAAAACATTCAAACTTCTGTTTGCCTTTTTTAAAAATTGACAGGCCCTTCGCTACGTTTTAGTTTGAAAACCGATTTAGGATACGTATGATCACGTAAGGAACCGCGGGGATCCGAAATTGGAAGAATAAAACAATTTTACCGTTGAAATTCTATACTTTAATAACGTTAAAAATTGTAGCTATATAAATTAATTAGTTTATAATGTAAAATTATGTAGAGGGTGGGCCCCAATCTCGTGTCTAGGAAGGTTTTGATCTGAACTTCCAACAGGCTGAATATAATATGACGAGGTATGGATCTCTCTTAATCACCTCAGACATCCTTAATATTTATATTTTATCACACGTATCTACGGCTTATAGGCTACATTATTATACGTTATTAATATTATAAATATACATTGTACCGGTACCTTAATATACAACAAAAGCCGCTTAAAACAACCTCATAAAACCGAACTGAATTGAGCAGGGAAAATTTGCCACGATAGAAACATGATTAAAGTCAACCATCTTTGTGTATATCAACCGGTCGGCATAACATGATAAAATTTCTCATGGGCAACACAGTTCGATTTTATAACGGCGTTAAGTTATACAGGCTGAAGTCAGAAGTCGCTTATGTGTGTCTACCTAAGATGAGTCAGAATTTATAAAATTTTGATTCCTTCATCTTTGTTAAAAAGCTCTAGAAAGGCAAGTCGAGAATGAGAGTTTTGCATTTAAAAAGTCCTCTAAACGGTATTTAACATATGTAAATACGTTAAAGTATATAGACGTTGATTTGGTTAAACATTTTTTTTTCCATCTAAACCAAAAGAAAATTTAAATATTTGGTGATGAATGTTTAACGAATCAACGTCAATATCATCAGACTTTTCATTTAATGATTTACATATATATATATAAAGTAGAATATATGTTAGTATTTAACGTCAAACTATTTACATATCAAAAACCCAATGATTATAATATGAATAATTAAAATAATCATGAGTAATGGATATTTTAAAATATACGGTAAAACTTGTATAAACCGGAATAGTAATTTATTAGACGAATTGATGTTCTATATTAAACTATAATTACAATAGTAAGAGACTTATTTACATTGGATACCCAAGTTTATTGGGGGGGTCTTCATACTGTCTTCACGCTATGTGAAAACATGTATTAAGGTCTATCGTAAAGAATATGAATAACCGATTCTACTCGTATCGATTATACACTTGCATAATACATATTAAATATTTATGAGACTATTTACTCACATCATCACCCAGAATATTCGAAATTTGTTTTATAACTAGGCATTTAATAAAGTTAAAATTCTGGTAATAATGCTACATTTTGTAAAATGCAGCTCCATCTAAGGGGTCAGATTTGGGTTAGTTGCGGTCTTTATCCCTTCACCAAACCGTGTAAATTCACTCCTAAACTCAAATAAATCTCTTAAATTAACGTAAAGTAAGCTTATATTTGAAATATATATTCTGTAGTTTAAAATCACGCATTTTATCTAACGGTATTGGAAAAATATAGACTACTTAAATCGATTCGTAATTAAATAAAAAGGTCTAGATTAGAACGACTGATTTTTGGACCGTGTTCACATCCGAAAATAATAAATAAATGCATTATTATCATTTCAAATGTTTTCGATTACTCTTTGTGTAATTCAACAATTGTGTATAAAAGATATCGACGACGAACGATGGAAGAAGGACGTTTCATCGCTTTCCAAATCAAAACCAGACGTCGCAAAGTCCCGTTCGATTTGTCTTATCTCGGCATTTGCATTTTAATTTTCGCTAATAATTCGACACAAAAATAATGTCATAAATATTGTAATTTAGAATAAAAACTACCATTCCTTGTAATTCGTTACGCTTTCGTGTAAGATCGCTTACCAAAAATCACCCCTCGTCAGACACTATCCGGTTCGTTAAGTAAACCGGATATACGAATTTACACGATAATTCAGAGACCTGCTAAACGGTAAATGAAGGTCCGAATTTTAAAAACACGTGATTAATTACAAGAGCATTTAGATAAGCACAGTATTTATGTACTACTGTACAGTGTTGTTCAGTTAAGCCGATCACGCGATCGAGAACAAAACTGTTTAAAATTGCAGATAAGACTAAATTAATTGCTAATCGATCATGAGATCATTTAAAAGATACGGAAATGTAGTGTTTTTTTCGGCTAAATATACGAAAGTAATGCTTTGTATTTTAATTTTTTTTTCCTTCCGTATAAACGTGATTCGTAAAGATAATTTACGTCTCTTATATTATACTTTTAAATTTAAACCAAGGCTTTTTTTCTTTATTTTGCTTCCTATAAAAAAAGGGGGTATTATTCGTTCAGATTATCATAATGAATAATAATAACGACGATTCTATTATTAATTCACGTTCGAAATGCTTCTGTTGTATGCGACTTAAATAAACAATAAGCCTATCTAATCTATAAAATCGATTTGTTTGTAAAAATAATTCTAAATTGCTCTTCCTGCGTGATATATATTTATATAAAATCGCAGTTTCCTTGCTATAATTATTTTACCACCAGTTTACTGGAGTGTAGAGCATGCTGACGTATCAAACTATACGAGCATCCCTTAAATAGCGTGATCTAAACAGTTCATTAATTACAATTGTTGATAGATTACCCGATTGAATAACTCCCTATTTAAAACTTCAGTTAGCTAATAAGCAGTCACAAGATAATCGTTAACATACCATTACATCTCGATTAATTTAACGTAGGGAATCTAAGTGCAATCAGATGATTGAAAGGAGGAACAACGATTCGAGTAAGCTACACTTCTTCCAGTAGAACGGGCATAGAGGATAGCACAGAAATTTGGGATTTTATTTATTATGACAGGGTTTAATGGATGTTTCCGGAATGCCTGACTGGCCGATCGATATTTTAGAAAATCCTGACATGCACGAGTTTATTGTATTAACGTAGAGTTTTGTTTGTGTAGTCGCTTAGGCCGCTTCCCTTTTATTATCGTCGCTTCGGAAACCTAAAAAAATCCACTAACTTTCAGCTAGGTGCAAAGTACAACCGGTTGTTTTACTTCTATAAATAGTATAAAACGTATACGGTACGTCCTACTGTCGCCAAAATGAGTTTTGTATTCTAATCTCTACATCTGCGCCTGACATTTCGCTGAATAAGAAGACACATACACACACACAGTCTATAATTAATTCAAAGTCTGTAATTAATATGTACTCTACAATAGGTCGAAGCTATCAATGAAACACTAAATCAATAATTTGCTTTGCTCGTGTAATTTGTTCCCAGTTTGTCTTTCTGCCAATTCAATTACATTCGTAAGGAATTCCCTCTCTCCGGGTTAAATAATAAACAAATTTTGGTTTATAATTAAATTGCCATTTTAAGCAGAAACTATTTTAAATATTTTCGATTGATTATAGGTTATATTACATATTACTTTTATTATTATTATTATTATTATTAGACTGTTCTTCCTTCACAAAATAGCAATAAATTTAAAAGTGAGAGGCCCTAAACAATGGCGTAACCTTAAGATGCAGCAGCTCGATTTAGTCAGGACTTGCTTAACATTTTATATTTAAGAAAAATGACAGAAACATTTCCGAATTGTATAAAATACCGAAGATCGAAACGAATTTTTAAAAATGTTTTTTTACTACAAAATCGATTAAATAATTGGCTAAATTTTTTAATCGCTGATTAATAAATTGCGTGATTTATAACCGCGTGCATTTAGGATCTTCATTTGTAATGATTTACCGACATAAATGTTTTTCTTCCGTTTGCATTTAACTGAAAACAATTAAAAGATTTTCCTTTTAAAACAAGCAGAAGCAAAAATGATTTTATCGTAAAAGGCATTTCAGACTAATTTTTCCCGTCTTATTCCACTTCTCAAACACATCCGTTAACGAACATACGGCCATTTTCCCATATAAAAATTATATATATATAAAAAAAAAATCCTCCCTTTTTTTTACTATAAGATATTTTCTAAACGTTTCTAGAATTCAGTGTTTACACAAGCGCAGACTAAAAAAGAACATGGTTTCCCCCGCTATAAAAAGAACGAACACGTGACATCACGAAGCCAAGATAAATAACTTTCATTTAATTAGGTTGAAAGTGGAAGAGTTTGTTTATAAGAAACTTAACAATAGTATTGTAGTATTGTGCTGTTAAAAATGTTATTGGATGTAATGGTTTTTGCTCGAGCGTTACACTCAAGACCGGTTATCGATTATGAGACCTGTCCCGTGACCCAGAGTGTAGAAGCAAGTAAAGATTGCGAAGATTTCAAGCATTTCCAGGGGAGGATTACACGATTTAAAATGCTATT